TGTGCACGCTGCACACATGCCACCACTTCTTCAGTTGCCTGACTGGGCGAGCTGAGCTAAAATATTCCGGATATCGTGTGCCAATTGCATGGTATCAAATGAGTAAAACGAAATGTGAACCATTTTAGTTTATATGCAGATAGAACCGTCCTGAGTGCCTCTTTTGACATTTCCATGCATAATACGTATTTTGTAAAGCAGATATCCTATTCCTACAGTTGATTTTCCATGTAGAAAGAAAGCAATATAAGTAGGTATCTATAATCTATAGAAGCTTTTATCACTATTTTCCGCAGCTTTCTGTCTTCGTCTTTGCTTGAAGCTTCTATTTCTATCGTTTCTTTGCATGAGGTCATATACGCTTTTCGTTTCCATCTTCACAATTAATAATTTCTTCTTTGACGATGAACACTTCATAGGAACGTCCTCATGACATACAAACGGCTTACCAATTCTATTCTGAGCGTCTCTCTGAAGCTCTCCACTGCTTTGTTCTGAGAAGCAGGTGGCATGGAGTCGTGTGAACCGTGACCTCGGCTGACCTCGGACGATGTCGGGCCGGCGCAGCGTCCCCACTTAAACAGGCTATTCATTATGTAACTCTGAGTGTGCTCCCTATTGTTGGGGGCGTTTGTCGGCTGCTGGCAGTGTCGGCACCAGCAGCTGAGCCTCGTAGCCGGATCGTGGGAGTGTGCCCACCTGTCATGGGACGGGGGATGTCGAGGCCACAGCCGCTGACACAAAAACAGACGCGGAGCCGACAAAGGATGTGCTGAGCGGGCCGTACTTAGCGTCTCAGCGTGATGGCCGTGATAAGAGCGGTAGCGGAGGAACGCCTCGTGCCGCACCTGGTCCCAGGGGTACCGAACGCCTCCGTAGAGATACGGGAGCTGGATATGGGCGGACTGAAAAAGTTTAGCAGTTAGAGCTATGATGTTTTTCAATAGATAACAGACATAAAATGTGAGGATGATCATTCCATGGCTTTCTTTGTGTGTCGGTATAAACTCAACAAAAGTTTCAGGTGTAGACATGAATTATACACTTTGTAGCAATTGGAATGGACATACCTATTAACTTTAATTTTTGAAAATTCCATAGGCGCCTTGCTGCTATCAGCTATCCCGTAGGCTCCATTCCATCGTCATTGCATGTCGCCGGTCATTTGGAGCGCCCACCGTGCTCCGATATTGGATGCACAGTGCACAGTCCACAGGTGACTGGCTGCAGAAATCGCGTCATCTGCGCCGTGCCCCATTAGTCAACGGCGACGGCTGGTCGCGGCGACTGTTGGCGGCGTGTTTTGGCGGCGGGGTATAGGGTACCTCCCCCGTATCACGACATGTATCCAGTTCCGGTGGCCACACGCCAGTCGGATGTCATTACAACGGCCATTGACGTCACGGGCGCACCAATTAAAGACAGCCAACCCGCTGTTTCTGTGGGGAATGTCAGGTATGTCAGTAAAGTCAAAGAAGGTTCGTGAGTCGATCCGATGGGGCTTCGCGAGGTTGACCTGGTTATCAAAGGTGATCGTGTATTGGTTCATGCCAAAATATTTGAATGAAATAAATTGAGACGAATTGGAAGTATAGGTGCATTTGTCTATAAATCTAGTCGTATGAAGATCAGTACTAACTACTACTGTTAGTTATGTGTCTCTTGCTTGTCTTTTAATCGTGGGCCTATTAAAAAACGTTCACATTCCTGAAAAAAGGTTATGTCTGTACCTACCTGACAAACGCATGTCTATGACTCAGTCAAGCCTCTCGCCAATCACCATCGCGTTCTAACACTTTTTGCCGTCATCTGTGCGCCAAGGAGGCACGCCACTTTTTATGGTGGTTGCCTTTCAAACTGTACGACAAACCGCCAGAGGAGACGTGACTCGAAACATGATGGCGCCTTTATTCGTCGGAGATGTAGGTATTCATATTTTAACGACGCCGTCTATATTCATTTTATTTTATTTATGTTTAAATCGTGCGTTTTTTTAACGCAGCTTTTATACGATACTTACCGAAGTTTTACCTTAAATAAGTTTTTCGATTTTTAAGGCTACTTCACTAAAATGGAAAAAAGGTGTGTAACTATCAGGAACCTTTCATCATCATGATCAAAGTGACGTCGCACAAGTACCATTATGATTAATCTGAGGCTCGGAGGGACCTTTTTAAGTTTTTACTGCTAAAGAGCTGTCCTGCATAGCCGGGAACGATGTGCTCTCGATATGTCAGCCCCTCCAGTCCCAAAAACAGAACTTGCGGCGCTACAGCGCTGTGTTTGACGAGTGATGGTCTTTGAGCTAGGCACGCATAGATGACGCCACCAGTGGCTTGCGTAGTGAGGAGGGATTGTTACACATGCTGAACATGGGCTAAGCAACACAAATGATTGTAGATGACACAAGTTTTTTCGGAATGGAGTATGTATATTTCAAGTTTTGACGTACAGAAATACGTGCACAAACACCATAGCAGTGGTTTGTTGTTCCATGCTTGTTGCAAGTGTAACGTCTACGAATCAGTATTTTAGCATGGAGCAGTGGCTTAGTTACAAAATAACTTCCACCGTCCACAACCATAATCCATATTTTACATATACGAGTAGGTACTGCAACTGGATATGCCTATGCTATTACCTAGGTATGCGATATTATTGATCCATGCACAAACAATCCCTCGATGCCGCCGGACGATGTCCAGCTGTGCACGGAAGCGCAGTTGAACGGATCTAATGCCTGTAGCCTGGTCTGGCCTTGTCTCTGCAGCTCGCCGTGCCGGCCGGCTGGGTCGGATCAGCTCGTGTGAGATGTATTGGCCGCCATTGGTCAGGGCGGGCCCGCTGTGGCCGGTGCGGAATGCAGCGGGTGCCGGCCGTGCCGTGCCGTGCCTTATGCCGTGCCGTGCCCGAACTCGGACATAACGTGCTGACGCTCCGGCGATGGGAATCGGGCCGTGGACGGCGGACGAGCGGTGTCGAGGCCAAAATCGACGGCGTGCTCAACGGCCGGAGAGGGGCGGTAGTGGGCAATTTCAGGGCAACTGTAACACTTTTGAATTGTTCTCAGCGGGAGACACTTTTCTCACTTTTTGTCAGTGCCATGGGATGATCTGAAAGGGTAACTGAATAACCGTGCATATCCTGTTTTTTTTTTTTAATGAACTCACGAAAATGTTCGGATTAATAAAAAACGTGGTTTCTTTTTACAGTACAGTCAAACGAACAGTACTTTTGTTTCGTGATTTTGATAGACATTTATTTTAATCGCGTTTTCAGCCGCTAGTACTATACCAATAATACGGCGGGCGATGTGTAAAAAAACATTTTGGCGGAGTTATTTATCCCACCAAATCGGACTGACATCACTGATAAGGACAGACATCACGACTTACCTCTAATGGCAAGTCGAGCTTCCACATCCATGTAGAGCAGCATTAGGCTCGTGGACGATTGGGTGGGCTGACAGGCTTGCTCGGGTTGCAGCCCGCCCCGCTCGGCTCTGCTCGTATTTACGGTGTGGAATGCAGTGGGTGGGTGGTGTGGCCAACGGACCCGTAAGCTTACCTTACTGGTGCGAGGTGCCGCCCCGAGGTTTGATCACGTCACCCACCATCGGTGGTCGGGCAGTGTGGCGTCACTGATCGTACAGTGACGTCACAGGTCATATGGTGACGTCACTGATTTGTCCAGCCATGACGTCACTGGTCAGCAGTGAGACAGTGACGTCATTACTCTGTCTTATGATGGAAGGCAGAGCGTCTCTGGCAATCTAGCTATTTCTTCTGATAAGGTCGATATGGTTGGCCTGCCTCGCGACGAACAACAGATGATTGTCACCTGTCTTTTTCTGTTGGTTCGGCTCTTTCGGTCTAACGAGACCATTTCAGAGCCGGAAGGATGATAGGAATTACGGGGAGACATTGGTCTGAGCGGGCACCCCGGTGAGTCGTCGGGGCTGAGCCCATCACGTGGATAGGCCACCCAGCCCCCTGACACTCACGGCACCCGGCTACGAGCCTGCTCCTGGGGTGGAGCTACCCGCATGGGATAAAGTTGCCCGTCCAGCCCGGATCAGGGGGTGAGGCGCGGAGAAGGATTTAATTATCCTGACGATGGAAACGACGGAACGGATAAAATATTCTTTTTCATTTACTGTGTGGCTGGCTGGCTGCGTTTCAGGGGATTCGTATGTAGTATCAGATAGAACGAGAACTGACAGGGACGTGGTGCGCAGCTCAGGAGCCACCTGGTGGTGGAGTACCGAAGCTTCAGTTTAGGCAAGCGTATAGTGAGGTCGTATGTTCATCAATGCCCTCAGAGCGCTGTTCGTCCTTATACGTGCCTTAGCTGGTATGTCCACATGTTCACACTATTATAAAATATCAAACGAAAAGCACAGATCAGTTATAGCAGTTAGCTGACAGATCATACCTCGCTGTGTGCTCTGGAGCTGATGGCATGGGTGTCCGACTGTCCTAAGGTCCCAAGCAAATCCTGAGGGGTGTTCACGGGCACCGCACACTGCTGCGTGCGGTGTGCATGGGTGTCGTTTTGTATAGGCTTGGTAGGGCCCGAGCCCTACCAATAGTTTCAGAATTTTAACAATCCATATGACGTTGCATGGTAAGGATGGCTTTTGTACCCTAAGATTAACCATTAGAGCCCTACCAATAAATTTCGGAAAGTGACGCCCGTGGCGGTGTGTGCGGTGGGTCCAGCAGGCGTGGGGGTAGGGGATGGGTAGGCGGCTCTGACGTCACGGCTGCGTGCGGTGGACGGTCCGCTGTGGCCAGTCCCGACCGCACACAGCGACCTGCGGTGACGGAAGGCTGACGTAGGGACGCAGTGGGCGGAGCTTGGAGGCTGTGTGCGGTCCGACCGCACACAGGGCCCGTGAACAGCCCTCTGACCATTTTTAGCTCTCACTCTTCTCACCCGCGCTCGGACGGGAGTTTCTGTCTTCTACTGACGTCTCGCCTCCTCTGGTTCTGTTTCAGTATGGTGGCTCTTTCACGGTGGCCGGTACGGATCAGTCCACGAGATCAGAGTACGTCCGGAGCACCATACACAAACTTCAGGTACGGCTCGTAGGTGGCAGCACCATGCACAGACTCTGGGCACCGCCCATAGATGGCACTACCGACACCTCAAACGATAGCCGACAGAGCGGTAACCGGACAAAAGATCGTAAAGCAGAAGATCGTATGGCAGAAGATCGTAGGCAGTTGATCGTATGCAAAATATCGTAATGGATAAAGATCGTACGACATAATGCTCGTATGGACAAAAGATCGTATTCGCTAAAGATCGTCAAGGAAAATGATCGTATGCCAAAAAGTCTTAATGGATAAAGATCGTACGACATAATGCTCGTATGGACAAAAGATCGTATTCGCTAAAGATCGTCAAGGAAAATGATCGTACGCCAAATGATCGTATGAGATAAAGATCGTACAGTCAAAATATGGTATTCACATGGTGAAGCCCAACTCCAGCGCATACAAAACTTATCAATTTCTGTGTTCGCGTAGTAAGTGGCCGTCGTAAGCTCGACCATACATTGATGTTATTTCAGAGCTTAGATGGATCAATGACACCTAAAAGCAACGCGTTGTATATGTGCCGAATAAGTGAATGTATGTGCTGCCGTTTTCAGGTACCTATTTGAAGAGAATACAACTAAACCCATGCTCCCCCCCCCCCCCCACCGCCTGGAAGGTTAAAATGTTCGCTTCGCTCGCTGCGCTCGCTCGCTCGTAACAACACTATTCTATACGATTATTCACTTTACGAACGTAACGTTACGATCTTATGTCGAACGATCTTTTACAACATACGATCTTTATCTTACGATCATTTTCCTACGATCTTTTTTGTACGATCCATTGCTTTACGATCTTTTGCTTACGATCCTTGGTCGTACGATCTTTTGCGACATACGATATTTATCTTACGATCATTTTCCTACGATCTTTTTCATACGATCAATTGCTTTACGATCTTTTGCTTACGATCTTTTTGTCGTACTATTTTTTACAACATACGATCTTTATCTTACGGTCATTTTCGTACGATATTTTGCATACGATCAATTGCTTTACGGTGTTTTGCTTACGATCTTTTTACCGTACGATCTTTTACAACATACGATCTTTATCTTACGATCATTTTCGTACGATCTTTTTCCATACGATCTTTTGTCTTACGATCTTTTGTCACGTAATCGACAGAGCTCTGCCGCGTGCCCCGGCCGCCATCAAGTCCGTTAGCTCCCATTTCCGGAACTAGTTAGGTATCTGTTTGATTTCTGGGGCTGAAAATTAAGCTCAGAATTGCAACGTTAGCAGCTCATCCCGCAAAGAGGAGCTCAGCCGACGAGCACCAGTTGGTGGTCGGCTCGACCCTATCATTCACCGCTTGACACCAGAAATTCAGAATTATCTAACAGACCGAAATGATATGTCCTGCAAAGCAAAAAAAAAAGTAAAATCGCATCACCGTTATGCATTTTATCTGTCATCAGTACGGTAGGTACAGATATTTTGGTAACCAAGGACAAGAAACATAAGGGAAAATAATCGCGGATCGGCGCAATAGCAAAATGCTTAAATCAAAGCGCCTTTCCTACAAAACATAAACACAATTAAACTCACAAAAATGAAATATTAACACGAAAATTAAGTGCAAAGTAAGAACACCTAGCAACAGGTCACGGCGGCCCCGCCAGCAGCCCGCCGAGCAGCCCTCCGGACATAGTCACGTGTCCGGGCCCCGGGATGCCAAAATCGGGTATAATCATTTCAAGTCCCGCTTTTTATTTTCAGCTCAGCTCTCGACACAACAGATCATCATCCTTCGCTCACAGAGTGCGCCTTACACTGACCTCGTCTGGTCCGCAGGTCCCTACTGCCGGCACCAAGCCCGTCTTGCTGATCGTCTCACTGGAGGGCATCAAAGTATGCGGCCCCGAGGGAAAGGTAAGGATGCCAACAGCTATCGTAAAATTTTGTCGCTCTACACACGAGTTTGGCAGCATGAGCCGATTTACGCCCTCAACACATACATCATCGGAGGCCTTTAACAAACTGCTCCATTCACTATCTGACACAGCTTTCGAAAAAGCTGCCGCCGCCCGGCGCGGCGGCGGTAAAGGAGCCGGTCACTCAGCGATAACCGGCCTCACTCGCGGCCGACAGGTGCCGGACCCTCGCTGACAGACCCGTCCGGCTCGGCAACCGAGGGGTGTCTCTCCCCTCCCCCTCCTTCCACCCTATTACCCTTCCCCTTCGTCCCCCGCCGTGAGGTCATGGGTCACCAACGGAGCGTCGTCCACCCCTGGAGGCCCCGCTACCATTCCAGAGTCAGTCGTGACTCGTGAGAGGCCGTCGCTCGTAATGGCATGATCAATGGTGCTTGGGTCGAGCGGTGTCTCTGGGAAGCCAGGCAGGGGGTAGCCGGTGTGGCTTTGCAGGTTGCAGGCTTCCGCTTGTCCTCCTGGGCTCTATCTTCTCTCTCTCTCTCTCTCTCTCTCTCTCTCTCTCTCTCTCTCTCTCTCTCTCTCTCTCTCTCTCTCTCTCTCTCTCTCTCTCTCTCTCTCTCTCTCTCTCTCTCTCTCCCTCTCTCTCTCTCTCCCTCTCTCTCTCTCTCTCTCTCTCTCTCTCTCTCTCTCTTTTACCAGTCTCGCTAGACATCTCAAGCACCTACCACCACCATCACCATCCCTCAAACCTATACCAGCACGCGCCAATATCGCCACGAATACCGTCACTTTCACCCTCCATCGCCACTCTAAGCGTTCTCAGTCTCAGTCTCAATCTCAGTCTCACTACTCTCATCACCATCACCATATTATTATTTATCGCCAAAAAGAAAATCACCATCACCGTCATAGTCACTGTCACCATCACCATTACCCGCTCTGACCCCGCCCCTTCCCGTCCCGGCCCCATTTTTGGCCGTTCAAAGTCGTGAGGACGACGTCGGACGTTGCAACCGGTGTTGCAATGTCGGGAGGGCGGCGCTGCTCGGGACTCTGACCTTTGACCTCGCCAGTCGTGTGATCCCCACAATCGACCCGACCCAGACAGGAAGCGGGATCACGCCGCGAAGTGCCACCACCACCAGACGGCTAATCGTTTCCTTTCACCGCGAGCGGCAGGGTGACGTCACGGCACCTTTCTTGGGAAAGGGCCGCGCAGGTCAGCAAGTTGGTGTGCTTACAAATGAGGGAGGCCCGAACAGGGAACAAAGTAACCGAATGCGAGATGAGGTCAGTTTGGATTTGCATGAAAAATATCATGCGGTTTATATTTAAATGTTTTACATTTAAATGTTTGAAATGTTTGAAATGATTGCGAGCGCGCCAGCATGCTGGTATATGGTGTTTTAAATCGGATCTCATCATTTTTCAATCGTAGTTTGTTTATTCTTATACTCGCATTCTCTCGGACGACAAAGCGGTGATTTATTTTATGGCAAATGTGATTGCTCTGTACCATGAGAAACCTAAATCGATCGTATTTTTGTCTATAAGCATACCTTCCTGACTGTAGACCCGGCGCTTTTGAGGGAATGGTATTGGACACCGAAGCAAGCTCTAGATGCTCATGTTAGTCATGTTTCCACCACTAGGAATAAAAATTCAATAAATGCTTCGCGTAAATAATGAAATAAATTCGCTGAACAGGAATAGCTCATTAGGAAGAGGGGAGGCGGATTTATTTCTCTCCCACGAATCGTCATCAAATGCAATCGTATTGATGCTATCTTTTCACTGAATATGGCTATCACTCGACCTACACATGCACTCATATGCATGTTGGTATATTTATGGCTTATGCTTGGTTTATGATTTTTGTTCTTCGAGCTGCTGTATCTTTAACGACTTCCATAAAAATGAGGTTCCCAGCGTACATACATTCATTTACACCGAGCTATAAGTATTTATCCATAAGTTAGACACGCACGAATATCAAATGCTGCTCAAATAATGTGCCTTATATTTCATTTACACACTTTTTCTGATGAATGACATGCTAGACGGGACATGTTTGCTTCAGTATAACGAGTAGGTATTATCACTCTGCCCAAGACTGCTTTTATTTCCGCTCAAATTCAGCATTGCACAGCCATCTGATACATGGCTGATTGATTGCTGACATGTCGTCAGGCGTCACTCGTTCGGTGACTGTTTCCGGTCGCGTTTTTACAGTAATTATAAGATGCATTAATTTCCGTAAAAACCTGACCGGCCGTCATGACACTGACGGATGACGTGACTGGCTTTGTTTTCAACATTTCTGATCTTTTACTGCCACTCCCTGTGACAACTGACGAATTCCAGCCTGCTGTACATGGCGTGTTTGTTTGTTTGTGTAGACATTTGTCTGTGTTTTCCTGGACAGGAGATTTACATGTCGCACGCGCTGCGTCGGATCTCTTACGCCACCTGTGACCCGAGCCGGGGTCAGTTCTCGTTTCTGGCGAGGGAGCCGCGAGGTCACCTGAACCTGCAGTACTGCCACACCTTCTTCACTGGCTCGGCGGACAAGGTCAGTCCTCGGGGATGTAGTGTCACACTGCCGACTGAGCTTAGGTTCGTGTTTAGATATATGGCATAGATGGTATAAAAATGGAGCGATGGAGAGCGCTTGGGCCTAGAAAAATACTCTTCAGATGCCAAGAAGGTGCATAGCTATAATTTGCTTAAACTCAACTCAACTTCCATAGTCTCAGCTTACGGTGTATTTAAAATGCACTCTAATAACAAAATAACTAACTCGATACCCGAGTTTTTTTCCATTATTTGGCCAATTCCTAGTTGTAGCATAACAACTGTGCACAGTGAACATGTCTTTGAACCAATTATCGTCGTTCACTGCCGAGGTATACCCGCCATTCAGCGAACGGGGAAGTGCGATCCATCTACGGACAAAGCAGGTAAGGACGATCCAGCTGTTTTCTCCTTACATTGTTTGTCAAATCCTTTCACAAACGCTTTGTTTACACCACATTGTCAAATATCATCTGTGCTATTGACACTAACTAGATTAAAAAACAGGGGGCTGACGAAACGACCGAAAACAGGGTGCTTTGGAAAGGGATCAAAGGATGTATAAGATTAAGTGTGAAAACAGACGTGCTCTGAGCCCTTATGTATTCAACTGAAACATAGGGGCCACAGAAAAAGAAAGCTGGAAAAGTCGAGATGTAAATGGAAAGAAGCAACACTCGCCAGTGTCGATGGAAAGTATTTTAGCTGCATACAAAATGCTCTTTATTCAGCATTATCTGAAAAAATCGCCAGGATTGGTGCCTGTGCAGGATGTTTTCCTTCCGTGCGCCAGGGCCATTAAATTTTTTATCCGAGTATTAGCAAATTAACGTCGATAGTTTGCGATATAACGGGGAACGCACGTTTTTTTTCGTTTTCATTCCATTTTTAATGAAATAACTGTTGACGTAATTTATTCCCTTGTCACGATTTAAGTTCTTAGATAGTTATTGTAAGACTTCACAGCTTGCCTGGGCCGTTCTTCAGCTGGTGCACATTCAACATAGCTCAAATTTAAAACGGCTAATGGCGACACTAGGTAGGTACTAAGCACTTCTACCTCCAGTGGCTTGACATGACAGAACAACGGACGTATAGGGACACACACTCATGCAGCTGGAATTTAGGAGACAATTTGCACGTACAAATGTGTCATTGGTGGCAGCAAATCCTCTGCAGGGTGTACTTACTTGCTGCAGTCACTTGAAAACATTCAGCTAAGCCACTTGGAGAAAGCGGCTTCACTCTGCTCGTTTTCACTTCGTCTGAATATGGCCTTGTAATTGACAATAAAAACATATCACCGGTCAATCCACGGTCAGACTGTTCAATATCCATTGCTTATTACGTAATCCTCAATTACTATTCTGCACATCGGTCATGGAGTATCAAGCTAGGTCTGGCTGTCTGCCAATCAAACCGTGCAGGGTTTATTGCAGGGCTGTGAGGGCGGCGCGGCCTGCCCAGGCCTCTTATTCTCCGCGCCTGGCGTGTGCATTCCTCTGTGGACTCCTATCTGCGGCTGATCGGCGGCGCTGCGGAGGCCGTCGTTGGAGACGGGGGGAGTGTTAGGGGGGGTGCAGCTGGTCGGCAGCCATGATGGCTGACTCAGTGCCGACCGCCGCTGACCGACCACTGACGACCGGCCGTCACGATAGCTGAAATATGCGCGCCGCCCACCGCGCCGCCCGGCGCTCCGCCAACGCCTGTCTGAGGCAGACAGCGGCCCTGCTGGCCGTCCGAGGCTGTCCGGTTAACCTACAGCTGTCCCACACCGTCCGCCAGCTCTCACTGTGGTGCCTAGGTCTGACCGAAGTGCCCACTGGGTGTCAGCGTTACATCGCATATCGTCCGTCCGCCAGCATGGCTTCACCGGAAAAGGCTGTCACTTCTCCATCATCCGATGCCATTGCAACTCTGCCTGCGGGCCTATTCAAATCTGTCTGACGATTTTACCAGACACTACGAGTACTTGTCACTTAACTGTGTCCTCCCAGCATTTTTTGGTCGAGAACGTCGCTTGTCCACCGTCTACCGTACCAATGCAGCTCATTTTACATATGTCATATTTCGTCCGCCAATCTGTAAGCACTACGACCTTTTTTATCGAGGGCATGGTTTAGGAGCATAGGCTCATTCCCTATGATTTATTACAAGTGCCGGCGAAAAGCGTCACTTCAAACTTTAAACAGCACTTGGCTATATTTTACGTCCCGGACAACATCCCTATAAACCATGCAAGTTCCTGAAACACTTCACAGATCCTGGTTTGGAGACAGTCGACCCGGTCGGGCCTCGCTGATGGAGAAACCGTCTCTGCAGTTCTGCGAGTGTTGAACCGCGCACTAGTTGCGTTCGCAGAACCCCGGCTCTGTCGGCCGCCCGAGGCCGCTCTCTGGTGTTCCGAGCGCTCGAGAAACGGCGTACGTCCGGACCGAGAGCCGGCGCCGGTCGTCCGATAAGACCTGGGAATGCTGTCCCGACCGGCACAGATCCATGCCAGATAGCGGAGATGCATGAAGGCATGACGTAGTCGTATCCGGCTCAGAGATAGGGTATTGGTTTTTAGATGATTTCATGAATGCGTTGATAAGAGATGATGGGGATATGACCTTGGTGTGCTTAAATTCTAAGCGATTTGGAGGTCAGAGGCTGATTGAATGCCTGTTTAGAAACGGCAGGTGAAGTGAATGCCTGTTAGAAAGCATTGATGTCAGGGTTTTTGTGCCGATCAGTCAGGAATGCGATTGGCCATGGTGACTTCATTCTCAATCGACTTTTAATGATCGACAGTTGACTCACGGGAAAATGTTGTTACTCAACACGACTGTTGTAGATTGAGGCTTGAAGAAATGCAAATACTTTGCCCATCGTTGTTTTCTTGCGCTTTGTAGCTAGCCTGTCGTATATAAGCAGACAAATATTAGCAGTCATGCATGCGACACAAAAGCGGAATGCGGGAGGTAGGTATGTTCGTTCAGTACGTGCTGAGTGCAGTGGTACAGCTCATATCGGCAGAATACTGCAGTTACGTTTCACACAATCGGAGCTCGCCGGTATGTGCCGAGTGCAGTATCTCGGCCACCAGGCGCTCTTTGGGCAGTGGCTGCGCTACGGGCGCCGCTAGCGGGCCGTAACGGTCTTCGCCGCCCGACTCTCCCAGAGCCGCCGAGCCACGCGGCAATCCTGACGCACTGCCGGCAACCCTGGCGCACTGTCGGTCAGCGTGGCGCACTGTCGGCCAGTGTGGCGCACCGACAGCGTACATGGCGCACTGTCAGATTACATGGCGCGTCGCTGGATCAGCTGGACGTAATCCCACTGGTTGCTAGCTGGCATAGGTTAATTTAACACCAAGCCAGCTAACAATACACAAGAGACATGCTTGATCTCAGCGTCTGACAGTCTGCCCTGACGCCCCTTGCTGACTGTTGATTCTGCACTCCTTAGACCCATTTCCGCTGTTTCACGCTGCACCTTTGAGTACAGTTATACCAACGGGCCGACACCGGGACTAGCTCATGCCGAGACAGCGGAACAATTAGCTCACAGCTCTGTCGAGGATAATTGAAGTCTGCCGGTTGTTCGTGGCAGCCGACCGCGTGCCAAAGGCCAGTTATGACCTGCGCGAGCCCAGGCAAAGAGCATTTCCTTCCCGCTCTGGGCTGTGGGCTTCCAGAGAAGTATGCCCGCTGATTTCCGTCGTGTTTCGTCACCGCCATAGGCCAGATCTTAGAGACGTATTTTTGAGACATGGAACATTTTATCAATGGATGGTGAACGGTAACCTTGACATGCACTCCGTTTAGCTGTGGCTAGAGTCTGTTCTATCGGCATGGTTTTTGATCCGATGCCCGTGGTGCTCAATCGTCATTGGTCATTGATTCACATGTGGCCCTTGATCCGCTACCTCTTATCTCGTTCTCTTGTTCATTGTCATCAGTATCCGGCTGTTGTCCGTTTAACCTAACGTCCATGTTTGGTCTCTATACCACATGGTCCTTGTGGTCCGCTCTCGGCTAGCGGTCCTCTACGGTTGCCTCAGGGCCGCGAGGTCCGCTCCTCTGCGATACCCTCAACCATCTGGAACATTCTGCAAATACCAATAATAACCGATTGTCAGATCACCATCTAGATTGCAGTTAACAGGTCCCCATGAGCTAAAGTAGCCGGCGGCTGGCAAGAGCTATCATTACATTTGCATATCCTGACATGCTATGCATGTGCGTTTTATAAAGCACTTGGGTATGCGATGGCCATGTTTTACGGTGCACGGTGCTGCCATAGTGAAATCTGTTGATGCACGATATATTCAGCGTGCTAAATTAACATCGATTAATTGGCCGATGGCTTGCAGAAGCCTGATGTATTGATGACACATTACAAGAAGTGATGTCAAGAAGCGATTGTTAGGGTGGAGCTTGTTTGCTTTATGGTAATGGATTTTTGTTACTTATTTTAAGGAAGTTGTAACACATAGACAGTAGACCTGTCATTCAATTCAAATAAAGTTATGCAAATAAAGGTTAGAATATCAAAACTGTATTTATAATTACATCATTTCATTCTCCAATTCATTTTCCTGGTCACTCCATCTTGCGTCCTAGCTACTTGTCTTCATCGTACCAAGTGCGATAGCGACAAGGCGTAGCTCTACGTTCACTCACAGACGCGTAGAAAGGTCTAAGCTGAACGATTATTCCACGTATATCTTTGACAAATTTGTAGTCTGCGAATAGAAGCCCAACGCTCCATTTCATCTCTCGGCGTAATCTTTGGTACGCCTCATTAGATGTAGCCTTCCATAATCTCTTCAAAATAGCCCCTGTAATCGCATTAGAAAATCCGCTCGAACAAATCTGCCGACCCTCTACTCTTCGGCCGGAGATAAGGACCATTGTATCGTGCTTTAGAGCGCAGCAATCGGACCAGTCGCCGGCCGGTCGGTCCGATTGTTTGGACCGCTCGTCTCTGCCGGGATCGGTGCGCCGGGCGGCA